TCTTGTACACCACTGAACAAATTCAGGGCTCCCCTTCTCCTTTACCCTTCCCCTACAAGAACACCCAGCACAGTGACAGCCTTGTGCAACAGTGAAGCCTGGAGAGGCCAACACGGTGACACCTCACCAAAATTAGACCTGAAGAGAATGAAAATGAACCAAATTGCACCTTCCTGATCAGCCATGCACAGTGCAGGTACCCAGTGCTGCAGCTCTCCAGCGTTGCTCTCCCACCTTCCTGTCACAAACACATGTTACACATCCACAAAAAGACAAAGGAGGAAAACCAAAGAACCCAAGAACACTTTCAGCTTTAAACTACGGAAGGCAAGCTTTAGACAGGAATCACTGACACCTTGTGAAAGTCCATCATTAGACATCTGGGAACGGAAGGCAAGTCCTGCCTCATAACAACTGCTCACAAAGAATATTCCTCAAAACCACCCAAAGCCACCAGGACAGTTCCCAGCACCGTCACAGGGACACAGACTGGGGTTGGCACATGCAAAGTCCATATTTCTGGATCCTGGCCCAAGCCAAGGCAGTCACTGGGGCTCCTGGGCTCTCTTCCCTCCAGCCAGACTCTCAAAAGTCGATGCTTGCCAGACCTGTGTGAAGAGAAAAAGGGATTAGGGAGGAAAAACAAGTGTTTATTCTTATCCTACCAGTCCTTCACCACTATTAGGACAGTCAGGCACAGGAAGAAGGATGCTTTGAGAATTACTTAATTTTTTTAAACTTAAATGTAAAGGATTTGGTGGGAGGATTTTTGATTGTGATGAAGCAATTAATTTGAATAAGCTAATCTGCAGGAATTGTTCATGGCAGAAGGAACAACACAGAATGTTCATGAACCTCAGATTCTGCCCGTGAAATTAAAAAGAGAAATCTGGGGAAAGTACCCTTAATGAGGGCAGTAAATTCACATGGATTTAAACCTCCTGCTTTAGATTAAGGCATATCCATGCTATGTCCAAATGCCCATTGGACATCTGATTATCTCCTTTGAGATGTGTCTTTTAACTTCTAAGATACCCTGCACCACTCAACCCCAGTCCCCAAAACTGTCCTCAGTCTTTCTCTAATCACAGCAAGGAATAATGCTGAGCTCCCAAAAGAGTGGTTACTATGAATATTTTGCCCTTAGCTCCCCTAGAAATTCGTGTACTACAGTCATCACCTTTTAGCCCTAAGAAATGAAATGGAAAACATGGATTTTTGAGCTCAGGACTGTGGAGGCTGGAGGATTCAGGTGACCAACACCACAAGGCAGCAGCTCTGCTACAGCAGCAGCAACAGGGTATTGAAGGTCTCCTTTCACCAGCTGTACCAGATGCTTGGCTGCTCAGAGATCACAACTATTCCCATTTGCTGTGCCTAGAACAGTGCTGTCTTCAATCTGGACAAATACAGGCTGTAGCCATCTATCCCTCACCTAAACCACAATTCTCCTGATTTTATTATTTGATAAGCAGCAGCAACATAGAAATGCTACAGAAAGCATGAATCGAGTCCCTCCATTTCAAAGAAATCCCAGTCTAGGAGAGAGAGAATTTTAAGACCCAAAGGAACATTTAAAAGAGTTAATTTCAGAGGGAACTTGGAGAAAGTGGTGTGGAACACTCCAGTGTCAGATGGCTGTAAATGGGGACAGTGCAGAAAAGCCTGGGATAAGTAATACAAATTTATTTTTGTGTTGTCAGGACACTGTGATTTCATATACCATGTGTCCATATGGCACTTCCCATGCATAGGATTTGTAAACCTTTCAATTAGCACTGATAGGATAAAGCAGGCAGTTATTTAAAGTAACCCATACGGCATCTTCTGGTGGAAAAATTCCAACTCTCCTCTACTGGACAGGCTTCCAACTTGGATGCCCATGAACCCTCCAAAGGTTCTCCCTCTGGAGAAGCAATCACGAGCTGGGAGGTGCTCCCAGCCCCAAGGACAGAGCAGCAGAGCCCATGCCCGGGACAGGGTGTCTCTATCCTGCACCCAGAGTAACATCCCAATCCCAGTCTTTCCACATAAAATTCCATGGGAAGGATCACTCCTGCGTGTTGGAGAACATTACCCAGGTTGCTGCTGTCCTTTGAAGCCCAGCAGATGCAGTAGTGCTGCATTAGTTGTTCAAACAGCTCCTTTTCATCCAGGAATTCAAGTGCTTCTATTCTGTAGGAACAAAGTAAAAATTGGGATTTGAGCTGGAGTCTCAGTAGAGTCTTTAATAAACTCTTCACTCCCCAGGAGTGAAAACTCTGGCCAGTAAGGCAGTTACCTTCCCAGTCAATCATACAGGAGTTTGTCCATGGTGCCCTCACCTCTCCCACCCTTGCTGTCCATGTATGGAACAAGTGACCCACGGGATGTTTTCAGCTTCTCATTCCTGGACTAATATTTCGTATTAGTCTGTACTTCATAGTTCATTCTCCAGGACTAACCTGTGCAACTTCTCACAAATACCAGCATTTGTCTTCCAAACCCTTTTCCTGCAGATATCTGGCCTTGCTGGCCCTGAGCAGCCACAGCAGCCCAATGGAAGGGGATTTATCCCGACCAAGGGATGGCAGGGAACAGCTGAAGACTGTGTTTTCTCCAGAGAATCACAAGTCCATACCATGTCTTGGAAGAGTGATGAGCACACCAGTACAGCTCCCAACAGCTCTCCCACAGGAGCCCATCATGAAACACAAACTAAATGGTACAAATAGAAGACCCAAGGAATTGTTTTCCCTAAAATGGTTCCCACCTTCCTAAAGGAAGGTCTTTAAATGTCTTCCCCCAAATGGGAGATTTTCTCCCGAGCTGTGCCTGCTTTACAAAGCTTAACCTGGCCCATTCCTCTCCCCCTCCAGACTACTTGAATATCAGTGTTTATTTTCCATGCTAAATATTTGGAAGAGCTGCTACTGAGGATCAAAAGAGGCTGAGGGGCAAAAGTTCCAAAATACACTCCCAGATGTAAGTGCTGCAGAAGAACACTTCTGTAAAGACTTTTATAAATAAAAAGCATTATTTGCCTCATTAATACTGAAGGACAGAGTTTACATAACCTATTTCCTGGCATTTGGAACAAGTGGAAGGAGTTGAACAGATCTAAGGTAGTCAAAAATGCTGCAAAGAAAGCACAGGCTCTGTGTCTCCACCAGTGCCATCTGGCACCACCACACACCACTGTTCCTATTTAAACCACCTCTGATTTCCACCCTCACCTGTTCAGTTCCAGGGTTGGAGAAAACCCCATATGTGAATATTTGGACCAAGGTAACTTGTTCAGCTAATTCAAGCTATAGTTAATGACTCACAGCAATTCACATTTCATATTATATCCCTAAGTTACTCCTGAAAAAGTTTCATGTTTTTTAGTATTTCTTCAATGCAGAAAAAATTAACAAAATCCATGCAAATTAGTGACTGTTAAAACAGTCTTTAGTTACCCTGTGTTCCCTAAGCTCTGCAGACCCAGCAGTTTCCCTCATGAAGATGATTTCAACGTGCTGTGGTTTGACCCCAGCCAAAATGTGCACAAGGGACATCTCAGGGACTGCGAAAACTCAGCACAGCACTTTTGTGGCATCTTTTGTCTGCAAATTCCTGTCATGAGATGCTTTATATTGCACCCAAATCAAACATCCCCATGGCCAGTGCATCATTAGTGCTGCTCCAGGCACAGCTTCACACTCAGCCACGGCCAGCACGCGCCTGCAGCCTCCTCTGTTAGAGCTGGGAATCCCACGCTACACACGGATGTGAACAGCCCTGGAAACGGCATCTGAGGATGACTCCTGGTTCTGAAATGAATACCTTTTGACATCAGCCTGTGGCAGGAAGCTGTACACCTTCATCATGTCGATGGCCCGTGCGGTGTCCCAGCCGCTGGCCAGCAGCCGCTCCCTCTGTAACACACAGCACAGCTTTGAGGGGCCAGGAAAAAATACCAGAGGGCACTTTCTCCCCCCAAGGATTTTGTAGGGCAGCTGCTTGACCTGTTCTCTGAAGAGCTCAAAGTCTTTCCTAAGCATGTCCTGCTGATCTCTGTGCAGAGAGGGCAGGGGGCAGGCAGGGCTGGGCTCTGATCTACTGCAGCTTTGGGACAACCACTGACAGTCAGTGGGGTCAAAGAGAAGGCGCCAGGGTGACCCAACTGTGGCCTTCCAATACCTGAAGGAGCCAACAAGAAAGATGGAGAGACACTATTTACAAGGGCTTGGAGTGACAGGACAAGGGGGAATGGCTTCAAACTGACAGGGAATAGGTTGAGATTGGATATTAGGAAGAAATTCCTCCCTTGTGAGGGTGGTGAGGCCCTGGCACAGGTTGGCCAGAGAAGCTGTGGCTGCCCCTGGATCCCTGAAAGTGTCCAAGGCCAGGCTGGATGGGGTGTGGAGCAACCTGGGCTAGTGGAAGGTGTCCCTGCCCATGGCAGGGGGTGGGACTGCTCCAACAGGGCACACCCAGACAGAACGTGCAGACAGACTAATTAATGTTGATATCCCAGCCCCCCAGAGCTCTGTGCCCCTCTCACCTGGGAGTCCAAGGACCTGCAGACCTCCACCCCAGCCAGGTTGCACTGTCTCCTCTGCAGGTTCTCGATCATGATCTGCCCGAACCGGTCCGTCATGTTCACCTCGGGTAGAGAAGGAGACAAAAGTGTTCCCCCCTCTGCACACAACGTGAGCGTGGGGAACAGCAGGGCCCTGCTTACACTCTTGGATTGCCTATGTCATAAAATGTACAGGACAACAGCAAAGTGAGTGCACATCCTTACACTGGGCCTCATTCCCACTGCCACCACCTCCTCAGCTCCCTCCTGGTCACAGCCTCAGCACACTGCCACGGTGACAGTGCCCTGCCCTGACAGACACAGGGACTGACATGAAAACTGATCTGCTTTGAGCTCTCAGCAACTTGCTTCATCTCTCCAGCAGTGATTTACAGCTTGGAAGATCCTGTTACTAAATTCCTGGAGCCACCTAGTTCCCCCGAGGCAGCGTTTAACTTCCACTGAGAGAAGCAGAGTTCATGCTGATGTGATTTTTGCTCCACTTTGCCAAAGAACAGAGAGGTAATTATGTAATGTTATACACTCAGAGCCAGCACTCAGCATCATTTCTTTTTCCTCTGTCTTAGCTAAACCAATATTCTATGGTTTTCAACACATATGGATTAAGTCTCAATTATTTTGCTTCAACATAGCCCAGAAATTGTCTTTCAGAATAGCTGTATTTTCTTTCTAACAAGCTAAGCAAGCTACAAGTTAAAACACATTACTACAGAAATTCAGAAGAAACTGCTGTCTCTACAAAAGGACACAGCCCACTCCTATTTCACAACAACTCCCACCTTGGAGAGCAATTGTTATGACAACAATGCGGGTCTGAAAATGCCATTTTGGTTTTACCTGCTCATAATTGATAAACATGGCCACGGGAAAGGTGCTTGCTGCCCACTTGAGCAGGTTTGCAGACTGCTGGGGGGTCATGTAAACCAGCACACACTCTGCCACCAGCAGTGTTGGCAAACTGCAAAACAAAACCAAGCCACAGAACTATTCACAGCAGAAGAACAAGACAAATCTGTAAAGAATTGTTAGTGAGCAGTCATTTCATGTCTTGAAAGAGCTACATTTTTTATGAACTAGACACTGAAGTTTGAATGAAATCTCTTCATCAAGTTGACTAGAACTAGGCTTTCTGGCAGCTCATGAATTAATTAACCACAGGAGACTCCTGTGGTTACAAACCAGAGATTTTGGGAAACAATCTCCTCTAATGAACACAGCCCTGAACACAGAATAATGTGCATTCTCTAAGTCTTCTCTTACAGCAGGAACTGAGGAGTCTATTAAAATTCCCTTTGCAGAAGAACTGTACTCTGTATACACAATCCACACGCCTCTAGAGATCAGTAAAATCAGGAATAAATTAAAAAATGAAAAAAAAGTTTTCTCTTTACGAAAGTTCTAAGAATTTTAATTAGTCAAATTTGTTCAGTATCTGTAAAATACTCTTCACATATTATTATCTAACGAAATGCAATCCACGTTGCCTCTTCCCCCTCCATCCACAAACCAACAAAAATAGACATCTACACGAGTGATTTTCTTCAGAATTATTGAGTTTGCTTTTAATTGCTAGAATGAAAGGGAAAAAAAAGTCACTAGAAGCAGGAGAAATTCCACAAGGAGCAGCGATGTAGGCAAGCAAGGCAACATTTCAGAAGATGGAAGTGTAAAGAATTAAATGGCAATTTGATGCATTCTGCTTCCCCATATGCTCTCTCCCACCCAGCCAGATCCCTGCTATTTATATAGCTTAGATTTGAAAGGTCTGTCCATCATCCACTCAGAAACTCAACTCCTGCCCCCTCCAAACCTCGTGTTGAACAATAAAACCCCACAGAGGAGCTTCCGGACTCAGGTCCACGGCAATCCCTCCACCAAAAGGTTTAGGGAACAACAGGGGTTCAAGTGGAGGCCACAGAAAAATACAAAGATAAAACTCTGAAGTCACAGAATCACAGAATGGCCTGTGATGGGTGGGAAGGGACCTTAAAGCCCATCCAGTTCCACTCCCTGTCATGGGCAGGGACATCTCCCACTAGCCCAGGTTGCTCCAAGCCCCGTCCAACCAGGGCTTCCACAAGCCCTCATTAAGAAAGAAAAATCAATTAAAAAATATATAATCTTACTGCTTATCCAAGTTGTGTTTCTTTAGCTTTTCCTCCAGATCTGAGGAGAAGCGGAGATCTGCTCCTACAATGGAATATCGACTGGAGTCAAGGCTGTGGGAATCTGCAAGGGGAATATTTGGAGAGACTAAGGTTACAAATAGGAGGGATGCTGAAATTATGAATTAAAAAAAACCAGCACAAGAATACATGAATTGGAAGCCAACGTTTGGTCTGTTATACCTAACTATGAACAGCAAACTTTTCTTTTTAAAACATTAATTTCCCTTATACTTGTGGTTTACAGTGATATATCACCACCAGACCCTGCAACGAGCCCACTCCTTCCCTCTGAAGCCACTGTGATGCAGAGAGGTTATCCCAGCCGTTACCATGGCTCCCAGGAATGCAGAGAGAAGAAAAATGTGAAGATTAAAGGCAGGATTTTCATTGTGTTTGTAGAGTCTTTTTAGATGACCCAATGTGTGTATACAGAACTACATAAAAGTATATCAATTTTTGAAAACCGGAGTTAAGAGTAACGTATTTCAAATATTAACAACAGATACAGCCATATAAAATATTTATTTTTATAGTTATAGAAGGTATATGGGGATCAGACACAGATTTGGGGCAAAAAAATGTTACAATTTATACTTTTGGTATGATTTAGTGATGGTATTTAAGCAAAGAGTCAAATTAGAGAAGGTGTTCTGAGAAACAAATATTACCCAGGGATACAACAGGCCTCACATTCCTGTAAGTGCTTTCCAGCACGAAGCAGGAACAAATCCCAGAGGCAAAGGACACGTTGCCATCCCGGCACAGCTGAGGAACCAGCAGAAACAGAGCCTCTTGCTGTCCATAACTCTGACCCCCTTTGCAATCAACCCAGCCAGGGGACCCAGTGCCACAGAAAGCACTTCACAAGGGCACCAGCAAACCCACTCGAGCCCTGCAGCACATACTGGTGGCTCTGGCACCTCCAGCTTTCCTGGGTGAAGGCCCTGGACAGAGGGAGGCAGAATGTCCCCCCTGTACCGTGTGAGTATGTGTGAGACGGGCAAACAGTAAAAGAAGAAAAGCAGTGAAAAATCCCCAGTCAGAGTTTAAAGTGGCTTTGGAATGGCCAGTGTCCAACTGCAGGAGCAGCTCCCACAGCTCCACGTGGGACCTGCTGCAGACACAGCTCCTGAATGTCCCGTGGGAGCAGATTCACAGAATCCCAGGATCACTGAGGCTGGAAGAGCCCTCCCAGCCCATGGATCCCCCCTGTGCCCCATCCCCACCTTGTCCCCCAGCCCAGAGCACTGAGTGCCACGGCCAGGCCTTCCTGGGACACCTCCAGGGCTGGGCACTCCAAACCTCCCTGGGCAGCCCCTGCCAAGGCCTGACCACCCTTTCCAGGGAGAAATTCCTCCTGATGTCCAACCTGAACCACCCCTGGTGCAGCTGGAGTGAGGCTGGGTGAAGAGGGAAAGGGAAGCCAAGTGGCTGAAGAGACAGGATGAAAGGGGATTCCAATTCCAGAAAGAGAAAAAAAAAGTTTGGGGACAAGTGGGTTTTTTCCCAATTATTAGATCATTTATTAGATCAAGCAGTGACCAAACGTTCCAGAGGGTGCACCTCTGTTTAGCTTTCAAGTGACCAACTGTCTGGAATTGGGGCTAGCAGGTGACAATAGCTGCCTTTCCTGCAACATTTCTGAGCAGCTCCAGGAACCAGAACAGTTCATAAAGAGAGTCACAGGGCAAAAAAAGGGAAAAAAAGAAGTTGTGTGGCAAATGATTCAACATTTTGAGTCAAGGCTTTTTCCATGTGCATGTTCTGTAATAGCTTTACTACTTCCCACACCCTTCTATTTCAGTGATTACATCAAGGCCATGATAATGGCATCAAAAAAAGCCACCCAAAAACCCCACCACACACAGGGAAGTATTTAAATAGGGATTGGTTTCTGTCCATAGATAGGGCACAGCGAGCGTCAGCCACCACAATTAGCAGGGAATTAATGCCAGCTCCTTGTCCAGCTTCAGAGACTTGGACACAGAAGTAATGAATTTCTGTTCTTTAATGAAGAACAGAAATAAAAGCCAGAAATAAACTACAAAACTTTTTAAGTGATCCAATAAAAAAGGAGCACAAACACTCCAAGGCAGAAATAAAATGTCCCTTGCTCACACCACATTGACTCAAGCATTTTTACTCCAGAATCATAGAATGTCTGTCTTAATCCACTGAAAATCCCATATTCCAAGCACTAGTTCCTACCCAGGCACCAAGACTTCGTGCTGGTTTCCAGCAGGGTTGTTGGGTCGGGATATTCCCCTCCAGAGCACATTCTCTAGGTATTCCCTAGGGTATTCTCCTACCTCGTGGCTTTGTGTGTGATGCTCACACTCAGTCAGTCACGTACAAAGACTCTCTCTTGCACTTGAAATGAAGGTCTGAGAAACACCAGACCCAGATTTAATTTGAGGGATTCAAGGGAGGGGAGAGAGGAGGAGGGAAGGAAGAGCCCCACCATTCCAGCCCACCCCATCCACCCCACACGGGCTCTCCTGGCCCAGATGCAGCACTCAGCTATCCATGGATATCAACAGAGAATGCTTTGCTCTGATCACACCACCTGAATGTTTATTTTTCATGACTTCTGGCACAGAAATAACAACACAAGTGGCTCAAATTTCATAGACTCATAGAACAAGACATCCCTGCAGTAATGGAATAATAGCAGGAGCTGCTTATAGTTGCCTTTTGACCTCACTGCAATACATGTTTTCTTCACAGAAATGTTAGGAACGAGTAACTGCTGTGTTTGAGGATGGCCCCAGGCCCTCCCCTGGCTCCTGGAGCAGCGTTCCAGCCTCACAGGCTCACAGAGCTCAGTGCTTCCTCTGCCACAAGAATTCAGTTTGCTTTTCCTACTCCCTTCTCACATTAGTGCAACAATTTCCTGGAGGTTTTCCAAGAGACAGAATGCAGGATACTATTGACTCAAACTGATTTCATTAGGATTTTCATCCTAAGGTATCTTTGGCAGCTTTACAACCCACCAGCCCATACAGCCTATTCCACAGGCGGGATATGGCTCTGCCTTCACTCAGCTCCTCGTTCACTACACCAGAGCAGGGCACGTGCCAAAACACAAATCTGGTTTGCCTCGGAAGCTCAGGATCATCCCCAAAACAAGGCCTGCAAATCACCAGGACAGCAACACCCCTGACACCTGCATCAGGTCACAGGACAGTCTGGAAAGGGAGGGAAAAGGAGGCTGAATCAACCAGGTCCCAAAGCTGGAGTAGGCAGGGCAGAAGGTGTGAGAGGCACAGGAAGGCAACAGTTCCCTGAGTGTAACTGGCACTTGCAAAGGGAACAGAGGTGGGGCACTGACCTCCCAACACCAGCAACTGCATCACCCAGACAGTGAAAACAATTTACTGTGGGCTTGCCATAGCAATGTCAAACTGCTGCACAAATCACTGCTTTCCCTGGAGATCCAACATTCCCCAGGAAACCATGGAGCTGTGCAGTGACAAGTGTCATCCTGCTGCATCCCAGGGCAGAGGCCACCAACATCTATATTTGAACTGCATGCCGTGCAGTCCCTGCCTTGTCCAAAGGGCAAGCACAGCAGATGCTGCCCTGAAGCCAATAAAGTTGTCTATTAGCTCCAGCTTCATGGAATGAGAACATTCAGGGTGAGCAGAAGAGCACTGAGAGAACAAGAATCACGTTAATCCATATTACAACAACTCAAAAATTAAATTCCAAACAATCCAAACAAATTATTCCTGGTACACCAGAGACAGCAGTGTGGAACTTATGTGGGGGAGCAGGCACGGGATGGGACAACCTCCTCCCCAAGATTCTAAAATCCTGGTCCATATCCCCACAAAAATGGGTAACATTTCCCTACCTGGCAATGCTGCTTCATTGCAGCCCACTGCACTCCCTATGACAGGTGGTACTCCCTGAATATTCCACAGTCTAAAAGCTGTACCAGGTCAGACCAGAGGTCCCCCTGGCATGATATCCTGCCTCTCACAGAACCAACAGCGGCTACAAAGGGAAAAGTCAAAAAAAAGGGCAAACACGTACTAACTAGCTGTTTTCTAGGTTTTTCCCAAGAATGTTTAAACTTGATTTGGATTTCTGGACCATTACTGAGCTCATGCTTTCATACATCTATTTATTCTAATACCCAGATCCTGCAGGAAGGCAGCAATAATCATTTACATGTGAGGCACAAACTATTTTTTTCCCCCATGTGCATCACTTTCTATTAATCCACATTGAATTCATCATCAAGTCACTAATTTCACAAGATTCTTCTACAGTTCTTTACCACTCTGAAGAGTTTGGATTTGCCAACAAGCTGCCATTTACTAATCACTGTATTTTCACAATTATTCCTTAGTGTTGAACAACAACATATCCTTAAGCACAGATCTCCATCTCCCCCATAATGAAAATTAACAGCATATGCTCACCCTCCATCCCAGCTCCTCATCCATATGAGAACCATTCCTTCTCCACAACCACTGTGCCATTTCTTTGGCACACTTTGGTAAGGGACACTGTCAAAACACATTTTTGAAATCCAGGCGCTATACTGATGTCCTTTTCCAACAGAACTGTTGACTCAGAGAACTCCAACAGGTTTGTGAAGCATAACTCACTCTTCCAAAAGGCATGGTGAGTCTTTGTCAACACACTCTATGATTTCTCTTTTGCACTAAGTCTGTCAGAATTCCTATTAATTTGCCCAGTAGAGACATCAGTCCTACTGGCTTAGAGTTCCCTGGATTTCTCCACTGGAGTCACAGCCACCACCTTCCAGTTGGAAGTAAGTTTTAAAATGAGAGGGTATAGACCAGTCAGTAGCTGAGCAAATACATTGTCAAGTTCCCTTAGACCTGTAAGAAATCTCTGCTCATCTGTTTGATTTACCAAGTTATTCCACCACCTCTTCTGGTGGCACTTCCACATGAAGCAGTTCCATTAATATATTCTTAAATGAGAGTTCCCACATGGATCTCACTCCAACCAACCTGTGGTTGACTGTCAGTTCAAACTGGGATTCTACAACATGCTTCCAGCACCTCCAGGTTATCCAGACATGATGCTACACCCCAGAGATGTCAGTGTAGCAGATCCTACACCAGCCTGGGTACAGTGAAATTGCTACTCTGAGGTTTTAAAACCCAGCACTGAGAAAGAACCAGAGAACCAGCTTCAGAGAAACCAGTCACTCCACTGCACTCCCCCAGTGCCACAGTAATTGCTGATCACTGCTCTGAGTTGCTATTAATAGCTTTTGATTACAATACAGCCCTGCAAGCTGATAACTGCAGTTGTTGTGCTGTACCAGACACATTTACAGCTGTTCAGGAACACAAACAGACACAGCCCTTCCAAAGGCCCGGGCTGCCTTTGGAACAGTGCTTGTGCAGCAGATCCCACCGTGGGCAGGGGATGGCACAGGCAGGGGCCCAGCCAGAACCCAGGGCTCCTCAGGTGGGGCACTGGACTTTCATCTTTTGAGGCCTGAAGGTACAACAGAAACTCCTGACACCTGAAGGTTGGTAAGTTAAGACACTCTAACGTGCAGCAATAAAATCTGCATAACCATGCCCCAAGAAGGCAGAGTGTGGCAGTGTGGCAGCACTGGGATCCCAGGGGCAGCCCGGGGGCAAAGCACCTGCATTTTCCCACTGGAACACGAGCACACCTCCTCACTCTGCACTTCCTCACCCCTGGAGCCCTGGGGGTCAGGAAGGCCAGTGGGGTCCTGGGGGACATTGGGAAGAGCCTTCCCAGCAGATCAGCCCTGGGGAGGCACATCTGCAGTTCTGTGTCCAGTTCTGGGCTCCTCAGGACAGGAGGGACATGGAGCTCCTGGAGCAGGTCCAGAGGAGGCTGCAGAGATGCTGAAGGGATGGAGCATCTCCCTTATGGGGAAAGGCCAAGGGAGCAGGGGCTGTTCAGCCTCTAGAGCAGACACTGAGAGGGGACCTCCCCAATGTCTGTCGGTGCCTGCAGAGGTGGGGCAGAGGATGGACCAGGCTCTGCTCGGGGGTGCCCAGAAATGGGACAGAAGGAATGGGCAGGAATTGATGCCCAGGCAGTTCCACCTGGCCAGGAGAAGAACTTTGCTGTGCAGTGACAAGCGCTGAACAGGCTGCCCAGAGCGGGTGTGGAGCCTCCTCCCTGGGGATATTCCAGACCCCTCTGGACACACTCTGTGCCACGTGCTCTGGGCTGGCCCTGCTGGAGCAGGGCGGTGGGAGCAGTGACCCGCTGGGCTCCCTTCCAGCCTGACCCAGTCTGGGATTCAGTGAGGGCCCTTTTAAGCCCTCCAGACCCTGAGCTAGAGTTGTGCTTAATAAAAGCACCAGTCCAGGTGATCCCTCGGGGAGCAGCAAACACGATGAGCTCTGCTTTAGAGTCACACCTGCTCACACAAAACAGCTGCTATCCTAGATGGAAGTAATTAGTGTTCCTCGGGATGGGGAGTCCACAACATCCTGTTCCAGAATAAGGTTATAAGCCAAGACAGTACAACCACATGACACCACCTGAATTTATTACCCTTTTAATACTAAAATATAACAAACAGCACTGGCTCCTGAGCTTGGACTTTGCAGGCTGTGTTTCTACTGTGAAGACTCTGCTAAATGTAAAGACTTGTTCTCCTAATGAGACAGAAAGAACATAAACACTCAATAGATATTTTAATCCTGTATCCATGCCTCTCAGTAGCACTTTTTCTTTTCCTGTGACAGAAAACTTAAGCTACATATGAGAGAAAAAGAAAAAAACCAAAAACTTTCTGGCAGAATAAAACCACTTAAAGAGAAGACATTTCTAACATGACACAGAACGAATGGGCAGAAGTCTGTAAGAGAAGAAAAAAGCTTCTTTTCCCTCACAATTCTCTGTCCAAACAGCATTTCAAACATTAAAAGCCTGCCCACATAGCAGAACAAAATGATCAGAAAAGTTTTAAAAGTGCTGCAGTACATTACTGACTGAGTTTGAAGATGACTCACCTATTAGAAGAGAGTCCCCTGAATGGGATTCCATAATTGGTTTTGACAGGGGAGGTTTTGATCTGTGGGAAGAAGGAAGAAGCATCTCAGAGCAGCTAAGCCTGTTTAACAGTGTGCTTACATCTTTTTTTTTAACATATATATATATATCTATGTGTGTGTGTGTCTGTGATAAAAGCAGCCAAGAGAATATCTCTGCCCTCTACTGGAAATGAAAACCTTTGCAAGTTTGTGAAAGTTGCAGTTGACTTTTATACCCGATTACTCCTAATTTTTGAGGTAATCTTTCAAGAAAAATCCAGATACTCTGTATGTATCCTCAATAAGCCTTAATGGATTCATCCAAACAGAACATTCCCATACAGCACCAGCTATCCTACCTCTCTGCCTGAACAGGCAAGTCTGGGAATTTACTGCTGTCTTCAACAGTAAAAAAAGACTTAATCACCTCTAATCATCATGAGACTTTCCCTGCCCCAGAACGAGGTCTGTTTGGCTCCCCACAGCTTCCACATTCCACCTTCTCCAGTCTGGAACAGTGGCTGCACAGTCACATGTAGGAACTTGCCTGCATAATGAACCTTTAGTCTACACAGAATCCCAGAATGGTTTGGGTTGGAAGGACCTTAAAGCCCATCCAGTGCCCCCCCCTGCCATGGGCAGGGACACCTCCCACTAGCCCAGGTTGCTCCAAGCCCTGTCCAACCTGGCCTGGGACACTTGCAGGGATGGGGCAGCCACAGCTTCTCTGGGCAGCCTGTCAGTGCCTCACACCCTCCCCACCCTCATAGCCCAGAGCATGAAATGTTTCTCAGCAGAGAGATGAAATAATGACACTGGCTCACATCCAGGCTCACACAGACAAACACAGGCCTCAGACTTACTTGATATTATGTATTTTTCTTGCAACGATCATTGGAAAATCCACTTCAAAATATTTTCTAGGGAGAAGATTTTCATCCTGGGATTTGGAGGAAGACACTAGAATTAGGGAGACTCAGGTTTCACATACACACAAGAAGATACAACCTCAAGTCCTGAACAGTTCTGGCATTTCTAACAATGGTACAACAATGTCCTACAGCTTAAAACAACCTAAAACCCAACAAAAAGCAGTTCACAGACATTAGAATGTTCTCTAGGCATTAAGGAAATTATTTAACATTTTATGTAATCACAGAATCCCAGAATAGTTGGGGTTGGAAGAGACTTCTGGAGATTATCCAGTCCAACCTCCCTGAGGACTGGATGATATTCAAGGTCCCTTCCCACCTAAACCAGCCTGAGATTCTGTGATTTACAAATATAAACTCACATTTATACAGTTCATTCAGAAACGTACACAGAGCTGTACAATCCTGTGCTTTAGTACATCATTCCTGTTTTGTTATAGGGTAAAACAGTGAAATCTGAAGGTTGAAAGAGGACAGCAAACCACGGCATTCCTGCTGTTCCTGGAAGCCCACTAGAGGTCAGCTCGGTGTCACACACTTCTGGGGAAGAGCCAGGGCAAACCACAGCCCCTCCTGAGCTCTGAGGTTTAAAGGCACCTGAACTGACTCTAAACAAGCAGAGAACTGAGGCAGAGCAGCCAGGACACTGGGATCCTGGGGGGCATGGGAAGAGTGTGGCCAGCGGGTGAGGGAGTGATCCTGCCCCTCTACTCAGCCCCAGGGAGGCACATCTGGAGTGCTGTGCCCACATCTGGGCTCCAAGAAAGACAAGGAGCTCCTGGAGAGGGTCCACCCACAAAGGTGTGAGGGGTCTGGAGCAGTTCTCTGCTGAGGAGAGACTGCAGGAGCTGGGCCTGGTTAGTGTGGAGAAGGGAAGGCTGAGAGGGGATCCCATCAATCCATACAAATATCTCCAGGGGTGCCAGAGGATGGTGCCAGACTCTGCTCAGTGGTGCCAGTGACAGCACGAGGAGCAATGGCCATAAACTAAAACTCAAGTTCCACCTCAGCACGAGGAAGAGCTTCTTTCCCTGGAGGGTGGCAGAGCCTGGAACAGCTGCTCAAGGGGTGGTGGAGTCTCCCTCTCTGCAGACATCCCAATCCCACCTGGACAGTCCCTGTGTCACCTGCTCCAGGTGACCCTGCCTGGGCAGGGGTTGGACTGGGTGATCTCCAGAGGTCCCTTCCAACCCCAGCTGTTCTGGGATTCTGTGACAGCCTGTGCAGTGCTGGCTCCCTGCCCACCTCCCCCTGTGTGACAGAACTCAGCACTGACAAGCACAGAAGGGCAGCTCAAACCTCCCCATGGATCTCAGTCCTCAGCCAGGCCTGTCACCTCAGCTCTCCTCACCTTCAGTCTCCAGAACAGGGTGTCCATGCCAGCCCCAAGGTTAACAATTTGACAGTTGCATTCTGTCTTCTTTAGAAAAGCTTTAATCAGATAACTGACTCCGTGAACACGAGCATAATAACCTGTTAACACACACAAAAGCTTCAGTTTAATTATTATTTTTATGTAATACTTGATGTTTAACACTCATGAGGAATTTCAGGTAGCCTGTTTGAACAGTGGTGTTTCTTAGGAAGAGTAATGCCCTCTTTCTAAGATACCTAAGGGCTTTTGTTTTTCTTTTTTAATTTTTAAAAAAATCTGATGCACTGATAAAACAGAATTCATTGGGTAAATAGACATTTTAGTCAAGTTTCACCTCAAACAGAGCAAAATAACTCTGGCTGGTGTCCACACTTGCAGAGACCAGAGCTGACACAGCCAGCTGTCCTGGGTCAAAGAAACATTTGTGACTGCTCTGAGGAGATTTCTGCACACTGAGACACACAGTCACACCCCATTTAGAACACAGAAAGCGAAGGATGAGAGCACTGATTTACAAAATAGTATTTAAAAGATCAGCTACAATAAGAAATTATTCCTGTGAAGAAAACTTGTCTCACTCTTTCCTGTATTCCCTACCCCCCTAACACCCAGTGCACAGGGGTTTTGTCAGCCTCAAGACCAGTTCAGTGTCTCCATCCCCATTCCAACTTGCCTCTATTGATCTCAGGTGCTTTCCTTTCCTTGGCTTGTCTCACAAAATACTGGATGTAAGGGTCCTTCCAGTAGCCAACACTGACAGCAAACCTGTCCAGGAGTGGGGAAAAGAAAGAAAGGATTAGGAAATAAGGCCACTAAGGGTACATCTTGGTGTACCCTAAAAGCCTGCATACCCCAAAAGATACAGAGACTGGTAAGGTCCCTCTGCCCTGGGTGTGCATATGCAGACACAGAATAAAATCTGTTCCATACGTGGAACCATTTCAATTAAGAGATTATATAAAGTTTAGTTAGAAAATCTGGCTGTTGCCATACTAAAGAAGCAACTTTTTAATGGGCTCTGTGCTATTGGGTAAAATTCTGTGGGCAAAGACCCGAATCTCAGCTGTTTCCTCCTGGAGGACCCAGCAGGGGAATTGTGTTTCCAGGTCCTCAGACACACACAAATCAGGCTTTGCTTCCACCCTTTGTTATGCCACGAGCTGTTTGCACTTATTCCAGAGCTTAAACACAGCACTTTAACACAGACAAGTGTTATTCTGTTCTAACAGAACCCACTGGTTTTACAACGGATTCAAAAAGGGAAACTCTCAAGCCAAACTCAACCACCCAACAACTCCTGCTGCAAAATCTAAGAGGGCAGAACAAACAGCCAGCGACAACACAAGTTAAATTCACGCCCAGGCACAAGAGGGCAACCAACTCATCCTCTCGCCGCGCCCGCCCTACAGGGGGTGAAGAAAGAAACCTGAAATATATGGAGACAGTTTTCCTCAGAGATATCCAACGTTACCGCAGTTTCTGACCCCGCTATGAGGTGCTGGCTACCCCCGTACGCTGCTTTATCACCGACCTCTGAGCCGACCCCGCACAGGGCTCACAGACACGACCAGGGGCCTGCGGCACCAGGGGCGTGCTCGGGGCACAGCCCGCCCTCACACGGGGAGTTCAGCTCCGCACCCCGCGGCACCAGCTCTGCTCTCCCGGGGCACCGGCACCGCACGGGGCTGTTCCCGCTCCCCTCCAGCGCCGCTTCCCGGGAGCCGCCCGTGCTTCGCTCCCCGACCCAGCAGCGCCCCGGCGCGGCGCGGGAACAGAGTGGAGGTGCCCGTCCCGCCCGCCCCCCGGGCCGGTACCGTTTGCAGACAGACGCGTCCTCGCAGGTGCCGCGAACCGCCTCGTCCGCCTCGTCGGGGCCGCCGGCGGCCGCCATGGAGCGCGCGGGGCCCGGCCGCTGCCACCGCCCCTGCGGCCCGCCCCCCGCCGCCGCTCATTGGGCCGCCTCCGCCGGGGCTTAGCACCGATTGGTCCGTGGGCTCGTCCGTCCCCACAACGCCCAATGAGAGCGCGCGGGCCGCAGCGCCCCGCCCGGGAAGCGGCGGAGTAACCGCAAGGCACGCCGGGAGCTGTAGTCCCGGAGACGCTCGGCGGTACCAGCGAGGGCGCGGGGCTGGGGCCGTCCCGAAACGGGCGCTCCGAGCAGCGAGCCCGGTCCGGCTGCCCTGCAGAGAGCAGCAGCGCCCGAGGCTCCCGAGAGAACGCCGGAGGCACCGCCGTGGCGGAGAGGAGCTGCCACATCCGGTCCGCGGGCGGGACATCCGGTCCGTGGGCGGGGCTGGTGACGCGCGGCGGGCGGGGCCGGAACGGGCCGGGCGGGCGGTGCTGGGGCGGCGGCGGCGGGAGCGNGGGCGCTCCGAGCAGCGAGCCCGGCCCGGCCGCCCTGCAGAGAGCAGCAGCGCCCGAGGCTCCCGAGAGAACGCCGGAGGCACCGCCGTGGCGGAGAGGAGCTGCCACATCCGGTCTGCGGGCGGGACATCCGGTCCGTGGGCGGGGCTGGTGACGCGCGGCGGGCGGGGCCGGAACGGGCCGGGCGGGCGGTGCTGGGGCGGCGGCGGGAGCGGAGGGGCCGGGGCAGCCCGGGGGGAGCAGCGGCGCCGGGGGAGCCCCGGCAGCGGCCGCCGCCATGAAGAAACAGTTCAACCGCATGAAGCAGCTCGCCAACCAGACCGTGGGCAGGTGCGGGCCGGGCCGGGCGCGGCGGGGGCTCTGCGCGGGGAACAGCCGCTGTGGGCTCGGGGGGAGCGGGAGGGGGCGGCCGCGGCCGCCCGGGGCTGAAACAGTGACGGGACGCGCTGCCCTGGGCGGTGGGTGCGTCGGTCGCCGTGGGTCGGTCCGTCGGTCGCCGTGGGTCGGTCCGTCGGTCGCCGTGGGTCGGTCGGTCGGTCGGTCGGTCGGTCCCCGCCGGTCCCGGGCGCTCCCCCTGCCCTGCCTCGGTCACACCGGACCTGGTTCGGTAGAGGTCCGGCGGGTTCGGCAGAGCCCTGGGGGTCCCCGAGCCCCCCGTCGAGCCCCGCAGGGCCATTTGCATCGGGCTCTTCCTGTCTGGGTTTTGGCGAGTTTCGTTTCCTTTCTCTCCGCGTTAATATTGAGGTATTCGGTCTGTTTCTCGCTCTTTCTCACATTTAAGAAATGCTTCAGGGAGTGCCTCCCCCAGGACTTAATTTTAACAAAAGGAACAGGAGCCCTGTAGGTACAGTTGTCACCAATTTCCAGCTGTTGGAGTCTGGGAAGGACCTGGGTCTGTGGAAATAAATCTGTGCCCAGACACGTGAGCTGAACATGCAGATATCGCTGCACTGGGTTTCTAGTAGAAGTCAGTATTTTCCTCCAGAAACTCTTCTCTGCTTTTAGTAAAGATTTAATCTGAAAGTTTGCCCCTATACTGAAAGTATAAACTGAAAGCCTGTGCTGATACTGAGAGTATAAATTCATTTATTATCTGAGCATATTTTGGTGGCATCCTCTCCAGTGACTCCCTTAGCAGGGTGTTTGTTTTCCTCGGGGCCCACGCAAACCGGGGCAGGTGTGTCAGCTAATAAAGCCCAAGGAGTAAATTTTTAATAGGTTTGTTTTGCTAGGAAAAGGGAACAACTTCCCAACCAACCTCCATCCTCTCATTCCATATCAACTAATGGATTTTTTTACATTGTTGGAGGGATTACTGGCATTCCCTGTTTGCCTGTGTCAGCCCCTCAGCTCCAAATCCCGAGTGGAATTTCGAGTAATCTGGGTTGTACTGAGTAGGATAAACAGCTCGGGGTGCTTTCTGCTTCCAGGGGAAAATCCAGCTGAAGTGTGGAGCAGTGTTTGGAGCAGGGTGTGTGGGGAGGTTGGCACTGACCTTTGGCCATGGGCAGGTGAGGGCAGTGGCACCGTGGGGTGCTCGGGGTGTGGTGTCTGGGCAGGTTCTTGCTCACACAGCTGTGCCAGGGAGTCTGGGGTGCCCTGGCAGTCTGGGCACGTGGGATGGGGAGTTCCTGGTTTCATTAAAACACAGACAATGCTGTCATTGGTTTTCATTTTGAACTTTTTAAAATGATGCCGAGTCATGTGTTTTTATAAGCTTGATATTAATTGCAAATATTTCATATTACTCAGCTCCTTACATTTCATGTACTAGCCAAGCATTCCTGTAGTCATCAGGGTTCTTGTAAAACCATGTAGTGGGGACAAATTTTAACTGGTTTCACTTGCAAGTATCAGGGCTGAGGCTTTCAAATGTGGTTTGAGAAGCACTGTGGGGCTCGTGGAAGGCGCTCAGTGGGATCTTGCAGGCAGTTTTATATGTTATATTTTATATTGAGTTGGTTAACTCATTTGTTAGCTCTTTATGCTGGGGCAGGATGAGACAAGCCCTGCATAGAGGGACCCGCTAGTTCTGGAACTGCTTGAGGAGGTGATGGCTCAGTGTTTCAAGAGCCTGGATGCCCTTGGGGGATCCTGTAGAGGAATAAGCTGCTCCACAAGAGGAGCAGTTTGGGATCTGTGCTGAGGGGTCACATCCCCGCCTCACTTGGGGTGCTCAAGGATGCTGGGGGAGCTGCCCCTTCCCACTTACCCTCCCTGGGACATCCCCCTGGGTGTCACCTCTAGCTGGCTGTTGTGTTTCCTGGTGGTGTGTTTGGAAGGGGTGTCTCCTCCTGCTTTGCTTTTCCACCATTCAGAGATTTTTCCCTCATAACTGGGTGTGTGGAGAGCGGACCCTTCCCCAGGAGGTCAGCAGAGCTCGGCCTGGGTTTGTTCTCTTTAATGAAGGGCTGCTTGAAATAGTTCAGGGGTGAAGGGAGGAATGACACTGCCCTTCTCCCAGCCCGCTTCCAAGGTTGGCATCCTTGGCCTTGGATCCCACATGTGTGATTTGGGATCAGGAAAGTAACACCTTAGTGTGGAAAATAAGAAAAGATGGGCAAGAGCTCCATCAAAGCCAAGGAATGGCATTTATGGGAAGCCTGTGAGTCCATGGATAGGATTATATGGAGTTGTGAAATACATGTAGGAAACTAATTAAAGAGGGGATTAGCTGAGTGGAACAGGATTCCACAATAATTAATAGATGTGTTAAATATTTTGCTGCAATTGTGTCGTGGATGTGGTTGGCTGCCTTAAGACAAGTGTTCAGTCTGCTGTTGAGGACTGTATATTTTATATATCTGCCAGATTTGTTGTCAGTGCTGCTGAGGGGAACAGCTCGAGCTCTGGGAAACCTGAAAAGTAAAATATCAGTCACTGTCAGAGTGTGGGCCAGGTGACTGAGACAGAACCTGTCACTGGAGGTGGCATCACAGTTTTCTCAGGGCAGCCTTAGCTGGAGTAGTGAGTGAGTCTTGGGATGTGTTGGTGCTCATGCTATTGTGAAGGCTCTCTAATCCAGCCAGGATAATTCCCAAAAAGCAGGGCTGGGAGTGCAGGTGAGCAGAGGCAGGGCTTGCCAGGAAATCATTAGTTCCACATGAGCTGAATTAATGCATGGGAATAAAGTGGCACCTTGCCCATGACAGACACACAGCTGATCACCCAGAGGAGCCAGCTCAGAGCTGGCTTTGTCTTGAGCTACATCCCAAATCCAGCTGGAAACAGCTTGGAAGTTTTAGATGGGCTGCAAAACTAAATTGGGGAGGGAGTGGAGAAGAAAGGAATAACCTTAATTCTGAATTTGATGAATTTCAGGTGGTCTGTGATTCCTTAGAGGCCACGTGCTGGGATTGCTTTTAATGGGATTTATGTACTAATTCCTCTAAACCTCCCTCTCTCCTGAGGACCATGGCTCACATCCCCTGAGAACAGCTGTGTGTGTGCTTGGCCCGGGCACAGGGCCCTGTGAAATGGAGTTGTGGGCTGTGTTTCAGTCCATGCTGTCTCGCAGATCTGGGGAAGGGAGGTTCCCCCCGGTGTTTGTACCTTTGTACCTGTCCTTGGGACGCTTCCGGAGCAGATCCTCACTCCAGCAGAGCAGCCGAGTGTTAGGCTCAGAAATTAAAGTAATTATGTGATGTATGATGTCAGCAAGGTAATTCTTCAGATATCTGTGAGTGCTTGTCTTAGTTTTCATACCCTTTTATAAATTACAAAGGAGACAGATTTGATTAGAAGCTCAGGAATATTCTCCTTTAAGCTGCAGTCATCCCTAATGAAAGTAAACCTTCAGAGCTATTGTCATCAAAGCTTTGCACTGATACACTAATAAGCATTTGAAGTACATAGCAGAGTAATTTCCATGAGGAATGAGCCCACGGAGGGTCTGGACCGTGCTGTTTGCTCACAGAACTGGGGCTGTAATTAATGGCATTGCAGGCTCTGACAGCCTCACACCAGTTGGGCTGCCCGGCCCCTGGGGACCAGCTGCTGCTCTTGTTGCCATCAGGTTCTTTTTCCATCTTTTATGTGCAGTCACCAGCGTACCATTCAGATTAAAATGATTCCAGACAACTGGTGTGGGAGGTTTAGGTCTGGTGAAGTCACCCAAGATCAGACAGGTGGATATTCTTACTGCCTTTACTGGGAGAGATACTCGATCTGCCCCGAGGCTCTTGCAGTAATTTAAACCAGGGACAGGCAGCTCTGACTAATTAGAAATCTGGAAGAGACCACAAACTGCCTCAGAAAGCTCTGCTTTTAAGCAAGAAGATGACTTACCATCACTTCTGTGCTTGTTTCCCACTGTCCAAATGCAGCTCCTTGTGTACAAATAGGTTTTTCCAGGGCCTGTACTCATGGCATTGCTGTGACTCACACGGAGTTTTGGAACATGGCTTTTAATAGCTCATGTCCTGCATGAAAGTTTCTGTGCTGAACTATATTTAGTGTTTCTTCAAGCCACTTGGCAATGTGTAAGTCTTGAGCTGGAATTGGAGTGGTTGTAACATAATTATTACATTAAAGCAAGTTATGTTAAAATGCCTGTTATTGGATTGTTGTACAGAAGGAGCTGCCTCCGTTTATCTGTACAGGGAAAACCTGCTGGAAAGCAGTAACTTCTAGTAATACTTCATGGAAAAGGGGAATGGTCCAAGTTATTCTTTTTTTTTTTTTCCTGTTGAAGCATTATCCACTGATTCTGGTCTTTCTCAGAAGCATTCTGTGAATTATTACTTGAGGAAGTTCTTTTACTTCTTCATTTTTTGTTGTTAGTACTTTGAAACTAGCTTTTTTAAAGCATCCAGGGTGATGAAACAAGAGTGCACTCATCTCTATTAAGTCCAAAATACTTCCATCAATATAATATTAACCCTACAGTGCCATTTAATATCAAAGAAATTCTTCTTTAATGTTTTTCTAGTTCTTGTGTGGAGAAAAAAATAAAGGAGCATGACCCCAGTGTTTGAAAATTTCTGGCTCACCCAAACATCCTTTAAAAGAAGTTAAATTTGCTAAGTGTTATTTATTTGCAGTACTTGTTGTCTTTGGCAAAGATATTTGAAAAAGTGGTAAACAGCACTGAAATATGAAATATTTATGGCCAGGGCAAAGTCCTCTTTGTGCTTGGGCTTTAGGTTGGCATTTGTCTCCATCTGAGCGCTCATGAAAAGAAAAATCTCGTTTCAGTGTTTATAATCGTTATCTCAAGCATTTCCTGTTTATCTCCAAATGAAGTTCCAGGTCTCCTTAATTAGAAAATTGCATGAGATCTCTGGTTGGCAGCTGAATTCAGTGATGGGCTTAAAGTGCCCAGTGGATTG